TATAGACAGAAGTAAATGTAAGTATTTTCTCTTTTTTAAACCATGGTCTACATGTTTCATCGTGGCTCAAGTTGAATAATATTCTTATTGCTCTTTTTTGTAGAATAAAAACTTTATTTGTATTTGATGATCTTCCCCATATAATAATTCCATACATAAGTAAACTGTGAATGTTTGCAAAATAGGCTGCTTTAAGAATGTTGGGAGTTGCAATGGTTTTTAACCTCCTGAGGCAGTATATACTTTTTGAAATTTTGCTGCAAATATTTTCTACGTGGCAAGACCAGTTTAGACGGCTGTCTATATAGATACCAAGGAACTTTACTATTTGGTATTCATGTCTTCCAAATGTAAGTATTTCAGTTTTATCTTTGTTTATTTTAAGTTTGTTTGTAGCAAACCAGCAATCAGCTTTCTCAAATATTTCTTTTGTCTTAAAATCGACTTGTTGTAGAGTTTTTCCATTTATTAAAAATGAGGTATCATCGCAATAAAGACACGTAGAGAGGCTATTCCTAACCTGGAGGTCGTTGACATATATTATAAAGAGTATTGGGCCTAGAATCGAGCCTTGAGGTACACCATACTTTATTTTTAAGTCACCCGACTGAGAATCGTTGTAATACACACACTGCGTCCTTTTATCTAGGTAAGATTTTAGTAAATTATATATTGGTCCCCTGAAACCATAATAAAATAGCTTTTCTAGTAATATATTATGTGGAACTGAGTCAAATGCTTTGCTTAGGTCTAGATTCATCATGCTTAGCTTTTCACCATTATCTATTGCCTCAGTAATAAAGTTAATTACTTGAAGCAATGCTGTCGTAGTGCTCCTTCCTGCTCGGTAACCATGTTGGTGATCTGTAAGTAGTTTTCTTTTTTCTAAAAATTTTATGATTCTGTTTTTAAGTATGAGTTCAAATATTTTTGATAGTGAAGGTAAAATAGAGATTGGGCGATAATTTCCACATTCATTCCTATTTCCTTTTCCTTTATAAATTGGTATAATTTTTGCTTTTTTTAAATCTGACGGAAAATATCCTTCCTGAAAACATTTATTTATTATTATTTTTAATGGTTCTAAAAGTTCATTTTTAATGGATTTTAAGATTTTTGTGGTTGTAAAATAAATGTCATTTGTATTTTTTGTCTTTAAAAGATCGAAGCATCTGTCTAATTCTTGGATAGTACAATCAAACATAAAAAATGACTTTTTTGTATCCAACTGAGTAGCTTTAGCAAAACTAATAGCTGAATATTTTGTGTCTGGAATTTCTTCGAAAATTTTTTTTCCCACTTCTACAAAAAAAGAATTTAGTTCATTAGCTTTCAGGTTGGTATTATAGTTCTGTGGTTGTGGTTTTTCATTATTTATTATTCTCCACATCGTTTTTTGTTTGTTATTTGAATGATTTATTATATCTTCAGTTTGACGTTTTCTTGTATTTCTTTTTTGTATAGGTCCTTATAATGGTGATACATTTTTTCTGATTCTTGATCCTTTTGAACTTGTTTTATGGTATATAGTGCATCGAGTTCATTTTTCATTTTTATAATATTTTCTGTTTTCCATTTAGTTTTATGGTTCATTTTAATATTTCTTTCTTTTACTGGCATGAATTCATCCAAATATTGCAGTAACAGTAAGTGAAAGGCTTTAAAACCATTATCAGCTGTTTTATTGTCAAGAAAGTTTATCCAATCTATTTCCCTTAAATGATTTTTCACTTGGTATATATTTTGTTCATTAACAGTTCTACTTTTTAATTTTTTTATATCTGTTTTAGGTTTACAATTATTTGGAAAGCATATGATCTGACCTAAATGATCTGAAATATGGAGTTCCTTTGTTTTTGCAATTATTTCGTTTTTTTTATTAATAAAGATGTTGTCTATACATGTTTTTGTTGTTTTACTTAATCTTGAAGGTTCATTAAACAATTTTATTAGGCCGAAGCTTCCTAATAATTCTAAAACCATATTTGAATCTCTATCAATGTTTAAAAAGTTAACATTAAAGTCACCTGCTAATATAATTTGTTTATCACTATATTTATTTAAGAGTGTGTTTAGCAACTTATCCAGTTCTTCCATAAAGATATTTAAATCACCCACCGGTGATCTGTATACACTTAAAGTTATTAAATTCATATTGGGTATGTAGATTCCAGCTATTTCCAAGTGTTTTTCAATTGATGCCTCTTTAATGAAATGTAATTCCTTAGCGAACCATTTATTTTTTACTGCTATAAGTACCCCCCCCATGTTTGTAAATTGTTCTATTAAAGCTACTAATAATATTATAATTTTCGAGTTTAAATGTGCTTGTTTGACTGTTAGATAACCAATGTTCAGTAATGCATATAATATCAAAATTTTCTTCAGAAGTTATCAATGCCAATTGATCAATTTTATTAAATATTGACTGTATATTTATGTTAAGCAGTTTTGGATTTCTCTTAAAGTTCGGAGTTTGTATTGGTTCGAAAAAATTTGAATCTTCTTACTAAGAGATAGGATATCCTTATGCTTTGATACTAATAAACTAATAAAGTGACAGGCCATTTTCTTCCCTAGCAACCTGCATAAAAATTATTTTAAGGGCGGACTTTCACCCCTTGGCCCTTTTAAAATCATTGCGGCAAGGTTTATTTTATTTCTATCGATATTATTAACAATATTACAAATATTAAAGTGACAGTCCATTTCCTTTTCTAGCAGCCTACGTGAAATTAGATTAAGGTATTTTTGTATTGTTATTTTTTGAGCTGTTTTAGGATTAAATTGTTTTAGTATAAATATTTGTAAATGCCGACTAATAAATTTACAGTTTCTAGTAGTGTCCGACCGAATGTCAGTTTTTGGCCGAAGCCGAAGCCGAAGGTTCGGCTCTTGTTGTACCTTCGGCCGAAGCAGAAGCCGAAGCCGAAGGTTTAATAAGACTTAAAAAAAATTGACTTGACTAAACTAAAAAAAAATTATATAACAATATAAATAGTAAAGTGTTATTGCGTTTAGTATATTGTTAAAATATAAATAGGACATATCCAATAATTATAACCTTCGGCTTCGGCAAAAATCCTTCGGCTGATTTTGGCCGAAGCCGAATGTGCGACCGAATGTGTTTTTTTGGCCGAAGGTGGCCGAAGCCGAAGCCGAAGCCGAAGCTTCGGTCGGACACTAGTTTCTAGTGATTTTAAAATTAATAAAATTAAAAAGGTTTAAATTTTCGTTAAATTGAGCCTAAAAAGTCATACATTTGTAGGATCTTCAGAAAAATGTATTTTATCACGAATTCGTGTACATTATAAGTTTTTTATGTTAAGTGGTAGAATAAACATAAATGTTTTTAGGATGTTTATTTTTAAAAATTATGCAATCAATCTAACTTTTATATTTAAAAGTCGACAATATCTTCGAAAAAGCATTGTAATAAAAATTACCCCCATAATCGGAACCTTTACTACCCCTCTGTTTATTATAATTGATCTCACCGGTGTAAACTGGCAGCCAACATTTAGCAGCCTAAGCACCAGGGTAGCCAAATGGGTAGTGGCGTTTGTTATAACTATGCAACGTTGCCAGATTTATACTAAATAATTAAATCTTAAAACAGCTTAAAAACAACAATACAAAAATACCTTGGGCTGCAACCCCTAATCAATAAAATGGCCTGTCACTTTTATATTTTGAAAAAATTATTAAAAATCAAATAAAATAAAATAAACCTTACCGCAATTATTTCAGAAGGAGCTAACGGGTGAAAATCTACCCTTAAAATAATTTCAACGCAGGCTGATGGAGAAGGAAATGGCCTGGTACTTTTATATTTTATAAAATTGTTAATAATATCGATAAAAATAAAATAATCCCATCCTTATTGATAAAAATGTATCTTATAAGTGCATATAGCGACGCGTTATCATAAGGGTAGCCATACATAACGCCGTTATGTATGGGTACCCTTGTGATTTTTTTCCATAGCCGTTAATTTGTATTCAATTTTTAATCAAAAAAAATTTGTGGTTTACCCCTCGCATAGAGAAATTTTTGCTTTGGGAATTTGTTGTTTAAAAAAAAATTGTATGAGAATTTATTGCTAAGAAATTATTTTTAAGCTGCAGTTGCAGTCCCTAATTTAGTCGGCAGCTAATAAAACTTTTGTAAATTCCGACTAATGAATTTACAGAAAAATGGGGATTTGAATTCACTTTCGTATCTTTACCTAACTAATTTTGACAAATGCCGATTTTTTACAAAATCACAGAAATTTTGTTCCAAAACATTGGAATATTATCGGAAAAGTTGGAATAGAGATTATATTTTTAATTAATAAATATATTTTACACATACATTCTATATTTACAACTTGGCAAATGTAGCTTGACACTATAATAAACATTGTAAGTAGAAATTTTATTTATTTATTTATTTTTAATAACCATATATTTTAATAGCAAATATTTTAACATGTAAAACTTAACCAAACTTTTTAAGAAATTTTTAACTATTATATTAATACCTACCTCATTTTTTGTAGTTTGCCTGAAGATGGTATTTTAAATACCGAAACTAGAAGCAAATAAAAACTATTAACCAAGCAAGGAAGTATACTTATTTAAATTCAAAATATCCATTATTAGATCATTAAACAAAATTTGTATTTATCTTAGATAATAAAAAAGTTTTTACATAATAATGTATTATCGTAAAATTTGGGGGGTTTGACACCCCGCTAAGCCCCTTAATAAAATATATTTTAGAAAGTATATTTTTAATTAATAAATATATTGTACACATACATTCTATATTTATTTAGAAACATTATTGGATCACTAAACAAAATTTGTGTTTATCTTAAATAATAAAAAAGTGTTCACATAATCTATAGATAAACGCGATATATACAATTAATTAGTATTAAATAAAAAACATTATTCGGATAAAAACTATATAAAAATCACAAACTTAAATAACCTACTTTATACATTATAAAACTATTCACATACATAATCGGTTACCAATTCCTTACAAGATTGGCATTTTACTTCGCAACACCAAGCAAAAGTACACTTGCATTTTGATAAAACTTTTCTGACATTTTGGCGGACTCTTAAGCCGCATGATCTGCAAAGGTGCCGGCAACTTCTTTTTTCTGCAATGGTTGTAGAGGTATAAGATCTAGAACAAGTCCTGCCTTTGGTACCTGGCCAATCTACAAAAAAACAATTATTATATTGTATATATAAAAAATATATATTAAACTTACCTATTTTATTATTGGCATGACAATAATTGGGAGATTGGTCCAAATAAACTAAATTATTCTTTAGTTCTCTTATAGTTCTGTTCCTTTCCTCAGCAAATTGCTCAGAATTAACCAAGATAGCTTTATTATATTTTTCTTTTAGTTTTGCTGATATAATGTAAAATGGGGCAATTTGTACCCAACAAGTTTGCAAGGAACAACTGCCTGACACGCCATGGCATCTGCATTTTTTTACCATTGACTCACGGATTACCTTAAAAGAAATTAATATGAAATGGCTTAAATTAAAACTCAGGTAGTTACAACTATAAACGGGATTTAATTATCGTAAATATTTAGTATTACTTGTCGTCCTATTTTATTATTATGGTGCTCAACAATGGCATTTGTGCTATCGTTATTCCTACTCGTAATATATTTGGAAAATGCATTGCCATATGTTGTGTCGTCTGAGCAACCACCCCAAGTCCAATCAATTTTTTCCATTTCTTCTTTTTTAGGCTTTGATTGTCCTAAAATTTCCACAGTCTGGAAAACAGACTCTTGTATCAGGCTTTGTGGTTTAGGATGACACTTGCACGCCTTAATATCGCCACGAGAACAATTTTTTGTTATTGTGTGTAAAATACCTGATGAAACGATGGCTGTTAAAAACGCATTTTCTTTTGTAAACTGCTCTTGGTTTCTAAAATAAATTATTTATTATTTACATTTGAAGGTTGGAAAGTATCTATGTTTTTCCATATCATTTATAATGTTTATTATTCTTATATATCATTAATTTACAAAAAACAAGCTATTTAACGCTGAACTTCGCCGTTTCAAAATGTAGCATGTTTTCAATAAATACTTATATTATTATTATTATTATTATTCAACTTGTTGTATATTTTACATCCAATTTTGGTTAAATCGCCCGGAAAATATTGCTGCGATGATAACAGTGTTATGATAAATATGTTATGATGATCGTTTTCCCGTCGGGAAAACCCCGACAGTACAAAAGAAGTCGTCCATAAAGTACGTCACACTTTTTTTGGGGATTTCAAACTCCCCTCTTCTCCCATGTCACATATAATAATAATATAAAAATAATCAAGAATAAAAAAATTACCTTTTTAAGGACGTCTTAGGACAATTCCATTTATTCCATTTAAATTCCTTTTGACAATGTTCTAATGCCATTTGTGTTCCAGCTGCTATTGATTGTATTAGACGTGCTGACATACCCTAGAATTATATTATTATTAAAAACTAATACATGTGTAATTCTTGAATTGTTATTATATTGTATTTTTATATCATATTTAGAATAGCTAATTAACAAGTTTTATGGTGGGTTTATGCAGACTTAAGACTTAAAACTTAACCTTTAAGACTTAAGAATTAAAAATTAAGCGAAAATTTTGTGGCGTTCATGCAGCATTTATCTTAAGACTTAAAAAATTAAGCGAAAATTTTGTGGCGTTCATGCAGCATTTATCTTAAGACTTAAAACTTAAGGAGTAACCAATCAAAATCGATAAAAATATCACGTGGTATCAAGTTGGTACTACCAACATTAAAATGACAATTAACATTGAAATTTTACCGTTGTGTTTTGCGAATGCGTATATTTTTGTTTATCAACGTTTTTTATAATCTGTGTTTACTAGTTTAATCTAAAATGGATCCAAACGAAGAAGATATGATGCACAGTAATTTCAAGAAAAACATGAAACACAATTTTTAAATTTTCAGTTACAACAACCATAGAAAAAGAATCAGTTTAATTTAAAATTCCCTAGTTAACGCTTGCGCAAATGCGATTTCATTTAAGAATTAAAAATTAAGACTTAAGAAAGATAAAAGTTTATTATCTTTCAAGGTCATTTTTCTTAGTTCTTAAATGTTAAGTCTTAAGTCTTAAATGGTGCATAAACGACCTTAAAGGAAATCAATGAAAAAACCTAACTTTTAACTTCTTAATTGTTAAATGTTAAGTCTTAAGTCTTAAGTTTTAAGTCTGCATAAACCAGGCATTAAAGACAAAACGGCAAAATCAATAAAAATGATTTTAACTTGCTTAATGTTAAAGATAAATGATAAAAATAAATACCGAGGTATACCACCTTGTGAAAATAAAAATATAATAATAAAATTATATAATTAACAAACTTTTTAAAACTTAAATTATCAAATAAAATAGTAAAAAATATAACATACCGATAATTTAAATAAAACATTTATATCGTTGATATCCAATGAAGAGCTGAATCCAACCACACTCACAATTACAGTAAAAAACAATAACTTTGTCCATAACATTTTATAAAAATCTGTGCGTTCGCAATGTCCGAGGGTTAAAGTCGGAATAAATGGTTTATAATAATAAAAGTATATCTTATGCAGACCCAAAGAAAATTAGGTAAAATTTTGTCGGTATTATAGATACAAAGGCTTTAACGGCTCCTAGGAGGGTTGTACCGTGTCGGTTCCAAGAAATGATTAGACATAATATTAAACCCCATAATCTCCCGGTTTGGGACACAATAAATGTTTTCGAGCCTTTCTTTTACCACCACCAGCATTGAAAAAACTTTTAAGACACGTTTTTTTATTGTTAAGACCGAAAATATTATAAAATATATTGTTTAAAAATACAAAGTAATTAATGAAACATTTTTGATATGTTAGAACCAAAATTGTATATAAACTTCTTTTATTATGGTTTTTTATAAACTTCCCATTTTAAATAAAGCACATTTTTTATTTTATTATTATTATAAAGTTTATACACCTACTTTAAAAATTAATTTACCATTGTTTAAAATGAACCTGGTTTTCAAAAAACTAATGTATTAGTCCTAAAGGCTAGGTAAAATGTATTGAAGTATTTTGGCTATAATTGTAAAACCTTAGGTAAATAACTTAATAATTAATCCAATTATTATTGTCTCTACGCCGCTGGGTCACAAATCTGTCGAAAAGAGTTACATGTTTGAGGTAAATAATTATTTACCTTAAACATGTAATTTCTACACTAACTCTTTTCGACAGATTTGTGATCCAGCGGCGTAGAAACAATAGGCCGATTACTACATTGTAGTGTAACTTTTAAGATATGATCGCCCTATTGTTTCTGCTCTGTTATGCCACCTCTGTTATGCCACCTTACTCTCTAAAAATGAAATAGTCAAAATTCTACTATTTGAATTAGTAAAAGCATTTTTTACTAATAAAATAGTCGTTTTCACTTTTAAATAGTTATTTTTTACAATGTAAATAGTTAAAGTTTGACTAATTTAAGATTAGTCACCATATTTGACTATTTCTGACAGTTAAAAGTAACTAATTTCTTTAGTCGTTTACGGCCAACAACAAAGTACCTTTTATTTGAATTAAATGCATATACCTCTCCATGGTTAAATGACCCATAAAACAAATAAAGATGCAAAAAGTTTAGCTCAAAATAGCAAGACAAATAATATATTAAACTTTAAAATATTATGAACCATATTTATTGACAAATAAAATTAATTTTTATAAGAGCGGCTGACAGCCGAATGCGTTAAGACGTTAGCTTGACAAACTTGTCAAGTGACAGACCTGAGTTCAATCCCAGGCTGGGTCAAAACTTTTTTTAAATTTAAATTTACTAATTTGACTATTTCATTCAGTGGAATTTGACTAATTATTAGTGACTGCTTTTTCACTATGACAATTAGTCAAATATGACTTATAATTAGTTATTTTTGACTAATTCATTTTAAGAGAGTATAGTAGTGTTATAAGCCATATATTTCCACCCTAAGAAAATAAATTCTGGACATAAATATTTAATACAACGTCTTTGAGACAAATTTTGTTGCTTTGTTAAAAATCCACCAAAAAGTATCTGTCTACACTCAAAAAAAATCTTGTAAATTTACAACACATTTACTAGTTAAAACATGTACACTTTACAAGTATTATGTTGTGAAAATTAAAACACAAGTTAATTTATGAAAATATACACAGTTTTTTGTAAAATTAATAATTTTTGTGAATTTACAATGGAATATTAAGTTTTGTTATGTAAAAATACATTTCATTTTGTTATATTTACATTATTATTGTTTTAAATACATATCAATTTGTAAAATTTGCATAATTATTGTAATTTTACTATTCGCATGTAAAATTACAAGTTTTATTGTAAATTCCAACCAATTACCGCGCGCCAAATCGTGATGTGGGGGTGCACCCGCTTTCTTGTCAGCTTTCTTGTCAGCTTTCTTGTCTTGTTTAGTAGATGAACTTGATTTTATGTGCACAGTTAGAATTTAGTTTTCTCGAGTTTTCTACAAGATCTTTTACTATTGGTAAGTACTTTAAACTTAGTTAAAGATGCATAATTAATTCATAATTGTTTTAGACTATAGTCATATATATATATATATATATATATATATATATATATACATATGTTAACCTGTAATATTTGCGAAATTAAATTATATTCTTTAAAAAAATATAACACTCATCTGCAATTGCATAGAAATACACCGGGAGCAGTGTTTACGTGTCTATATCGGAACTGTAGATGTGTTTTTAAAAACTATAACCGTTTTAAAACTCACGTATATAGAAGCCACAATTTATCTAAACAATATTCTAATAAAAAATATTGTTGTAATGTAACAAATTGTCCTTATATTTGAAATTATAATAGAGCTTTTGTGTCACATATTTATAGCCACATTAGACTTGGTATTAAAGTATTTTGTCCTTTTAAAAATGAATGCAAGTCCAATGTTTTGTTTAATAAAATTAATAACCTAAAGCAACATTTGTGTAGAAGACATTTTCAAATGCAATCAAAAGAATTAACTAATACAAAATGTGTGGTAGACGATTGTAAAATTGACTTATCCTTTGATATTGATACAATAAACACAAATGATGACGGAAGTAAATCTAAAGAATATTTTTCGGAATTAAGCCATAAAATAATAAGTTCTCTTTATTTAAGTTTAGAATCTAAACTGTTTGTAACAAATAAAACTTTACAAACATTTATTGATGGAATGTACGATCTTAATAAGCTAAATACCGAATTTATCTCACAAAAATTACTGGAAAAAGGTCTTAATGTCGAAAAATCATTATTAGACCAAAATTTATTTGAAGAGGCTCACAATTTAAGTACTGGAAAACTAAAAAATAAATATTTTAGACATAAATATTATAAAATAGTACATAGTATATTACACTACAAGGGCAGAAAGTGTGAGATTCCTGCACTGCGCGCCATGATGCCCGAGGCGAAGCCGAGGGCATCATGGCGCGCAGTTCAGGGCTCTTAAACTTTCTGCCCGTGTAGTGTATACTATTTTTCTTGCTACCCGGCAGAAAATACGGGAAAAATTAAATGTATATAAAAAAACTTGTGTCAAAATTAAAATCTGACGTTTAATTTAATTCTGACGTTTACATTCAAAATCAATCAAACTGTAGCGTTGTCATGGTAATTCAGCGGTGCCAATACAGTAAAAATAAAAGGTTGTATTTTAATTAACAAATTACTACTTTATAACAAATAAAAGTACCATTAAACACTTAAAACAACATAAAAAGTAAAAAAGTAAAAACATAAATTGTTTATTTGTTGTTATAATTGCAAAATTATGGTTTAAAACTGTCATATTTTTGTGTTTCTCATGTTGGCAGTACGAAATTTGAATGTTAAGCACACGACTAAAAAAATTTACTCCCGCTATTAGAGTGTGCGCGTATAGCTTGACCAATGCAAGAAACGTAAACTTTCTGCCGTGGAATCGGGAATGAAACAACGTATTTTGAGTCAAGGTAGTAAGAAAAACATTTTAATTTTGTAAGTCCTGTGTGCGTAGAAATCAATGAAAAAGTTAAATATTTTTATGTGCCTATTATTAAAACTCTTGAGGTTTTATTTAAAAATAAAGATTTTAGTAATCAATTTTTTCAACAACAGGGTACAAAAAATTATTTTACAGATTTACAAGATGGTGAAGATTTTAAAAGAAATGGGTTTTATCAGACTTATCCAAATGCTGTACAGATCATTTTATATCAGGATGCATTTGAAATTTGTAATCCACTTGGGTCCTCAAAACTTAAACATAAAATTATTGGTGTTTACATGACTGTAGCAAATTTGCCTGCATGGCAAAGATCACAAGTCGACCAAATTCAACTGGTTGCCTTAATATATGAAAAACATATAAAGCAATGTGGTATAAGTGATTTATTTAAACATATTATACAAGATTTAAAAGTTTTGGAGACCGAAGGGATTAATTTAGAATATAATAATGAGACATTAAATATAAAAGGCTCCGTAGTTTGTGTAGTTGGCGATAATCTAGGAAGCCACCAGATTGGTGGCTTTAATGAAAATTTTAATTTGACTTCATTCTTTTGCAGATATTGTTATATAAACAATATAAAACAATCAATTGAAATATTAAATCATTTTCCATATAGAACAAACCCAAGCAGCAATTTGTGCCCGAACTTGGGCACGACACTTTTTGTTTCCAAATTGTTTCGACCCAATTTGGGAAACTTATGTCTAAATGGAAACTGTGTCCATTCTTCAAATTTGTGGTTGCTTTGGGTCGACACCTTTTAAACCAATTGTGTCCAAAAAAAGTATGGGTCTAAGTAGCATTATTTCAAAAATATGTACCCAAGTTGCGTCGTTTTTGTGCCCTCTTGGAAACAGTAACACAATTTAGACTCATTAGGGTCGACACATAGTCGACTCAATGTTTCCATATTGTACCTTATCAATCTGTTTCCATTTTATTACCAAATTAAGTCAAGTGGACGCAAAAGTTTCCATTTAGCTGCATTTTAGATTCATGGTGTCTGATTTGTTTCAAAAATGTGTGGGGCGGGCGCATTAGGTTCCAAAGGGACACATTAAATACACATTTTGTCCAGTTTTTCTCTAAATTGTGTCTGATAGACGATTTGTTAACTAGTATCAGCTCTTATATAGAGAGTAAATGCATAATAATGGGTTGATATAAAATTAAAAATGCCTAAAACTCAAAGAAATAAAGTGAAAACCGTGTTTAACACACAGTACTACAGAAGTGTGCAGAAAGAAATTCAGCGTAATCAAAAGATGCTCTTTGATTACATGAAGCAGGTAAAAAAAAACAGATTCATTCAAGAATACGTTGCTAGTAGTAAATAATCCGGAAAATGGTGATTTTACAGCACATGCAAATAAAAGCGAAAGCTCAAATAATTTAGATTGGTGTCCTGAATCAAACTTTATACAATGTTCTCAGCCAAATGTTGGTGAAACAAATTTTAAAACCGATGACGCCGAATATGGCGAGCATAATTTAATTGAGCACGATGATGCAGAACATAATTTAATTGAGGACGATGATGGCAAGCATAATTTAGTTGAGGACGATGATCCAGAACATAATTTAATTGAGGACGATGATGGCGAGCATAGCGAAGAAAACGACCTTGATTCTAAAATGTCATTTACAGGAAGTTTAAAAATCTGGGCACTTAAAAATAAAATTACCCACGGTGCTTTAAATGAACTCCTTTGCTTGTTAAGACAATCTTCTCATAGTTATCTGCCTAAAGACAGTAGAACTTTGCTTGAAACTTTAGTAAATGTCACTGTTACTCCGATGGGATTAGGACAATATTGGTATAATGAGCTAAAATTATGTATTCGAAACCAACTAAAAAATTTTAATTTAGTCGACACATCTCATTTATTACTGAGTTTCAATATTGGCGGACTTCCAATTTGCAATAGTTCAAAGTCAGAATTTTGGCCTATACTTTGTAAAATTGACAATATATCTGGTATAAATCCATTGATAATAGCGATTTACCACGGAGAAAGCAAACCAAATTTGCAACAATTTTTGACACCATTTGTTGATGAGTTAAGTGAGGTTTTACAAAATGGAATAGAAGTTAATGGATATAAACTATTAATCACAATTAGATGTTTTATTTGTGATACACCCGCAAGGTCATTTATTAAAGGTAAATATTATTGTGGCAACAATTCTAATTTACTTAAAATATTTTCTTTTTTATAAGGTACTGTCAACTTTAACCACTACCATGGATGTACAAAATGTATATGTATTGGTGAATATTATCGAGATGGAAGGCATATGAGCTATCCGAGAATAGATTTGCCAGCTAGAACAGATCTTAGTTTTCGGAATAGAACAGATCCAGATCATCATAAAGAAGACACACCTCTAGAAAGGTTGCCTATTGATTTGATAGCTGACTTTCCAGTTGCAGATTCTCTTCATTTAATTGATTTGGGTATAACAAAAAGATGCCTTATTGGCTGGATACAAGGAAGTTACAACTTTAGGACCAAACTCTCGGCCAACGATATAAACTCAATTTTAATTTTACTAAAAGAATGCAACAATCAAATGCCAAAAGAAATGCATAGAGCCGTAAGGACTCTCGATTCAATCAAATTTTGGAAGGGTACTGAGTTTAGATCGTTTTTGTTTTATTTGGGTCCAGTTGTATTAAAAGACTTTTTAGCACCTGATATTTATAATCATTTTTTAATGCTTTCATGTGCTGTAACAATTTGCAGCAGCGAATATTATTTAAAATATTTGAATATTGCAGATAAACTCCTAAAAGATTATATAGAAAAATTTATCGAACATTATGGAATTGATTCTGTAAGCAGTAATGTACATAACCTTTGCCATTTAATCGAAGATGTTAAAAGATTTGGCCCATTACCCTCATTAAGTGCTTACCCCTTTGAAAATTATTTAGGCCAAATTAAAAGCTATTTACGGCATGGCAACAAGCCACTAGCGCAAATAGCCAAACGGTTAAGTGAAATGTCAAAATTGCAATTTTTACCTAAAATTAATAATTTAAAATTTCCATATGTAAAAAACAAGAAAAATGTTTACTTAAAAAATGGTTTCATGCTGTCCCCGCAAATTATTGCGATAAATGGTTTCTTACAAACAAAAATGAAATATTTCAAATGATAGATGTTCAGTAGGGTGGAGTGAATTTTTTTTTATTTATTAATTGATTTTTCCTATATTATTAATTGTTGACTAAAGGCGTAAAATGAATAAATATCGAAAAAATATTCCAAAATTTTAATATCTTGAGGTGGCGCATCAGTCTCGAAGTTTTGAAAATTCAAAAAAATATTACTTCAATCAAAGTAATAAAAATAGCATTATTTAAATAAAAATATTATTTTAGTAAAATTAACGTGAAACGTATACATATTTAATAGTAAATCATATGCTTTAAGTAACTTCAGGAGTGTTTATTGGTAGAAATGAGATCTTCTTTTTCGCGAAAATACTGACATTTGGTATCAAAATTTGGTAATTATTTTCTGACTTTAATTCTTGTTCTGATGAAACCATCTTTTGCTTCCGATCCACAAACCAAGACTGAAGATTCAGTTTACTGGTTATAACCAGTTTTACACAGCGTTCCACTGCTTGGGTGTGACACGGAAATTTTTGGAAGTATAGGAAATGGTCACCCGAAAAAATCATATCGGTAATTTCTGTCATCGTATTTCATAGTCGTAGGTGGTTCAGTTACCTTTTCTGTCGCCCAGTGAATTAACTCGTAAAAATGTATTTAGTTGTGGAAGCTTTAATTCCCGTAATCTCGAACATTTTGATCCTTTTCTCGCCTTTAATATTTTCGGCAATGATCGATAGATATATTTTAGGTAACATAGCAAGTAATAGGTTTTCGGGATAAATATTTCGCTGAATATTCTTTAGAACTACAGTTATAAGGCCTTCAAGTTTTTCTAGAGGTGTAATGCTCTTTTAGTCATATTAAATATGTGAATAGGACCATGTTTGCACGTAGGCTTGGTGTTGATGTAAAACCACGTTGGGGCATACACTTTCATGATTAGCTGATCCAGGAAAGCTAGCACATTCCCTATGGCTGACGTGTGCTAATAGGATTATTCGTTTATATGTGGGGACAGCAAATCCAAAAAACCTAAAAGAATTGGCTACTTTTATTAAAAATTTTCACCCAAGCAGTGGAACGCTGTGTTAAACTGGTTATAACCAGTATACTGAATCTTCAGTCTCGGTTTGTGGATCGGAAGCAAAAGATGGTTTCATCAGAACAAGAATTAAAGTCAGAAAATAATTACCAAATTTTGATACTAAATGTCAGTATTTTCGCGAAAAAGAAGATCTCATTTCTACCAATAAACACTCCTGAAGTTACTTAAAGCATATGATTTACTATTAAATATGTTTACGTTTCACGTTAATTTTACTAAAATAAACTTTTTATTTATAAATAATGCTATTTTTATTACTTTGATTGAAGTAATATTTTTTTAGAATTTTCAAAACTTCGAGACTGATGCGCCACCTCAAGATATTAAAAAATTGGAATATTTTTTCGATATTTATTCATTTTACGCCTTTGGTCAACAATTAATAATATAGGAAAAATCAATTAATAAATAAAAAAAAATTCACTCCACCCTAATGTTCAGTGCATAGATGGTAAAATATTTATCACCGGATCTGAAATAACTCAAAAATTAGATTTTTTTTAAAAGTCCTTTTAATTCCTCATATATTAATATATATTGTACTTTTTCTAATAAAATATACCAGCCATTAAAAAACATTTCTGTGGATGAGATAAACTGTAAATTAATATCGTTAAAGTACAGAAATGAGTTTGTTTTCTTACCTTTGATTCATACTGTTTAATTTTATTTGATTAAATAAAAGTAATAAACATTTGGTTATAATAATTGTGTTTAATTTAAGAACCAAACAAATTTTTCTTAAAAATTAATAACAAAATAACTAATTATTGTAAACTTCGACTTCAACTGAAGTTGGATCCAAATTTTGATGCGCACCGTCATCATTTACGGTGTTTTCTACTTCTGGGTTTTCATCGCCAATTTTTCGTTTCTTTTCTCTGAAAATTAAAAAAAAAATTAAAATCTGTAAATTACCTACTAAATAAATTTAGGTGTTTACAATATATACAATAAGAACAAATAAATATTTTTTGTATAAATAAATATCTCTATATACCTACATTTCTCTTTTAAGCCTTTGGGAATTTCTTTTGAAAACTTTAAACTGCAGGTATTTTTCGGTAGCCAGCCTAGTGAATTTTTGATCAGCTTTTTTCAAAACTTTGAAGATAAAGGATATTATTTTTTCGTATTTAATAAATACTGCCGTCGGTCGTCCGCCCTCGGTTTTAGCTGTGGAAATTCCCTTCCATGTATATTGGTAAAGAACTGAATTGTTAAATAGCTCACTTAATAATCTTGCAGCTACTTTTTCCCCATTTTGATTTCCACTCTCTCCTCCAATATTAATAAAATAAGAAAACTGAAATTGTAGATGTAATATGTTACTAAAATAACTAGTAAACTTTTTTTACCATTTTTTGTTCAAATTCCTTATTGGATAATTTGTTTTCCAATTCGTCAATTGCTGTGGTATCATCAAGTGGAAAATTAAATTCTGAAATAATGCCCTCCTCGTTTGCTGCTTTTACGTCATTTACAGCAATCTCTCTTTCATTATTAGTCCTTCGAAGAACCTCTTGCAATAGAGTTTTTACTTCAGCATTACTTTTAATAAAATAATCTAATTTTACACCTAATGCATCAATCTTACTGTCCATCTCATCAAGTTTTAAAAATAGCGCTAAAAATAAAATATAAGTACCTATTTAAATTTAATCTATTTGATCCACTCACATGGAGTAAAGTGCACTATTTAGGCAAATAAATATTAAAAATAAATTATTTTTTGTTTTAAATGTTGGTGCTTACGAGAATTACTATTCATATCCACTTCAATATTTTCACTTTGAGGAAATAATGGGTCATCATCATCCATCGATGGAACATCCACCAAAATAATTTCATTATTTTCTAAATAAACGTTATTATTATTATTGGTCAGTGTTAAATTTCCTGTAGAAGTATCAGTCACGATTGTTTCATTTTGTAATACTATTTCATCTTGCTCATTTTGAACCATCTCAAATTCAGAATTATAATTAAAATTCATTAGCTGTTCATTGCAAGCATTTTTGCAAAAACGTTTTTTTTCTCTTGTTTGTTCATGTATCTTTTTGTTTCTTTCAAAGTATCTAAAAAGTAGTTTTGTTTTTACTAGAAAGTTGGGTTAGGTTATTTTTGAAAAAACTTACTCAACCTCTGCATCAGTATCTGATAAATTTGTATAAAGTGTACATAGCTTTTTGGCAGTCATATAGCTCTCCAAATTTTTTTCTTTTACTGTGCAATGCATCCTTACCCAGTCTATGTTTGGTGTAGAGCTGGCATCCCTTATTAGTTTTTCGTAATGTTTCGCGTGTTTTGGTGGCCAAAACAAAATACCGTCTTGTTCCCAGTTATTTGGGACAATGGACAGACGCACTGTAATGTTTTCTATAGTTTTCACTATTTTAAACGACATTGTTTATAAAAAACCCCGTAGTTTAATTTAACACTTAAATCACAGAACAAACCACCTTAAATACACAGCGAAAATGAGGTTATGTCAAAATGTGTGTTGGGAAGTGTTCGAAATGCAACCAATCAGGCACATTTCGGAACACACAAGGCGCATATTGGGCCCTTACACAAATTGGATTTATTTTGGGCAAAATTAAGGCGCAGGTGTCAAGTAGGTTCCTAAATTGCGTTTGTATGTCTAGATAGAGCCATTTTAGCAAAATACTGGATTATAATTAAACACATGTAGCTAAAATGTGTCTATTGATTTTTTGTGCCCATATAGAATAAATTTAGTATAAATAACGGTTACATGATAGAAACTAGTTTCCAATCGGACACATTGTATAATTCGCCATGTTTTTTTTGTTGAAACAGATTCGACGCTTTAAGAAAAAATGGCAGATGTGAATTTTTTTTACATAATTTAACTTTCTGGTGAAATTTAAACTTAAAATTAAAAAAATGCAATGTTTTAAGTTACATAGAAGGCACATACGTCTAGTTTTGATAAAGATATAGGAAAAAAAAAATATTTGTAATTAAAAAAAAATTATGAATATTGAAAATTACTTATTATTTGTGAGGCCCTATCAATTTTTAAAAGTATTTTGCTTATAACCACCAATAAAATTTTGTTCGCAATAAAAATGAAGGTAACATATACCAAAAATGTTAGATTTAAGTTATAATGTTTTCATAATATTATATTATAATATACATAATTATTAATAAGACATCACGCCTTACTTTGCCTCTTTGTATCTAGTTTGTTTCCAATTCGTTTCCAATTAAAAATAGTGAGTGTCCATTTGGGTTTAATTTAGGACACAATACAGTACTTTGGCAACAATTCGAAACAAATAGTGACCATTTGGTAACATAAAAATTAGAAACTCTTTGGGCATAAATCGGTCACACTACCGGGCACATTGTGGGCAAATTTTAAGAAAAAATCGGGCACATTTTGTGGGCAAACTATGGACACTTTTTGGTACAACTTTCATCACCACTTTGGTCTCATTTTCCACACTTAGTGGTCTTAAAGTGGACTTTGTGTCTTTAAAATGTGTCGTGTCCAAAATCATGTTTCGACGCTGTGTCGACACATTGCCCAAAATGTGTCATTCTTTGCTGCTTGGGAAGGAAACTTATAATAACGATTTTAACTTAAATAATAATAACCAAACCAAATCTCATAACGGAGTTAAATTTAATTCGATTTTAAATAATCTTCAAAATTACCATGTTTGCAATCCAGGGCTTCCCCCATGTTTAGCACATGATTTATTTGAGGGAGTGATTCAAAGTGATTGCATGCTAATAATTAACAAGTTTATAGAAAAAAAAACTTTTCCCTAGAACAACTAAATAAACTATTTAAAAACTTATCATTTCAAAACGAAAAAAGACTACATTTGCCCATTTGGAAAAAAAGTGATAAGCTTTCTGGAACAGCTGCACAAAATATGTGGATAATGATTGTATTACCATTTGCCTTAATAGATTATTGTCATATTTTACGGGAAGATCCACTTTGGATTATGCTTTTGAATCTAAGAAAAATTTTACTTTTACTATTAGGTTTTCAGATTTCAGAAGAACAAGTAGTATATCTAAAAAATTTGATATTTGAATATCTTAATGATTTGTATCAAAATTTTCCTATGTACAGACTAAAACCAAAGCATCATTTTATATCACATTACCCTTACTTAATAAGGCAGTTTGGCCCTTTACGAAATATATGGACCCTGAGATTTGAAAGTAAACATCAGTATTTTAAAAAAAATATGAGGAATACTAATAATTTCAAAAATGTCCTATATTCTTTGACTGAAAAACACCAACTTTTACAAGCTCTTTATTCATCACATAATACCCTATATAATAAAAAAATAATATGTGATAATCCCCAAAATTTTAATAAAAATGATTTTGATATTAATGTGTCTTATTAATAGAAATGTTAATTTAAATGGGGATATATATACTTCAAATAAAGTGAATTATAAAGGAATTATTTATTCAAAAAATATGAATGTTGTTTGTAGGAAAAATTATTTAGGTGAATTTATATTTTGTAGGATAAAACATATTTTGATTGAAAACTACAGTCAACTTTATTTCATAGGTTATTTATTTGAAGTGATATATGATCAGGAAAGTGGGCTTTATTTTGAAGAAAGCAATAATAAATATCAATATTTAGATATTATTAATGTTGAAAACTTGATTAATCCAGAAACAGTTTTGCATTATATAACAACTTCAAAATTAAATGTTTATAGTTTTAAATCATATCCGTTTGAAATATTATAAGATACAAAATACAAATCATAAACGTTTTTTAATATTGTTTTTATTTATTAAAGTAGTTAATTATAGTAATCAGTATTTTTTTTTGTTAAGTAAGGTCTATAGACCTTAAATAATATTTTGGTTTTAACACTTATGATTATTATTAGAAATTATTATTTGTATAAAAAGTCTTCAGTAAACATGAAAAATAATTTAAAACGGGTATATTACATATTTATATGTGCAAACGTATATTTGTATGTATGTTTAATTTTTTTAGGTTAGTATTAACAATGCATTTATTTAAAGTGTGGACAAGGACTCGTGACAAGAAAATAATGGTTTTGGCTTCAGAACCAGATATATTAAACAACTTAATATTAAAAGGTTAAAACCATTTAAAGCTTATTTTTTATACATTTTTGTTAATAATAAGTACAACAAATCTTTTTTAAATTATTGTATTATTAGTATAATTTATTGATTAAATTTTAGCATCTGAAAAGTTACAAATAAATGGACAAAGTGTAGTACTTGAATGTGATGGCACTAAAATCGACGACAATGAAATTCTTTTATATGTAAAAGACAACACTTTAATTATATTAGAAGAAAATGGTATCTGGATTCCAGAAATAATTAATACACCTGCAACTTCCACAAAAACTATTAGTTCAGACATAACATTTCATAATACCGTTGATTCATTCAACGATAATACAAGTTTTGATATAAATAATGAAAATATAAATGTAATGAATATACAAAATATTGAAGTAATATAATGAAAATATAAATGTAATGAATATACAAAATATTGAAGTAATAGATTTAGCCTCTACTTATGAATATGTTTGGAACAATTTTAAAGTTCCATGGGAAGAAATTCCAGAACACATGATTACAATGTGTGAAAAAGGAGAGAGAAACAAATATGTTATATCTGAAATTATACACATTGTTGTTAATGAACTTAGGCAAATAAAGGAATTAATTCCAGCCAAAATATTAAAAAAAGTTGCTTCTGATATGTGCGAAAAATTCCCTTTAATGTTTAGAGATATTGACAATGATGGTGTCGTTATGGCAGATGGATCCTGTACTATGTTTTGTAAGTTACATGAGAGAGCATCCTATTTACGAAGACCTCACAAAAGAAAGTTAAGCACAACTGATAAGGTTCCTCCTAAATTAGTTAAGAAAAAGGTTAATATTATGGCAGGATGCTCTAATTGGGATGACAGATCTGTCAATGACGATGTAGATTTAAAAATGAAGGTTAATACGTGTGGAACATGTCCTGCAGATCTTGAAAATTTTCACGATCTTTTAGAAAAAACCTATGGGGATCAAAGACAATTTTTAAATAATATTCAGAATCCTCCAACTGTGCTTGAGATAAAAAAGGAATGGCCTGTATTATTTAAAGAACCTGCAATTATATGGCATTTTCAAAAATTAACAAGCAAGGACTTAAATACCCTGCCAACAATAATTGAAAAAAATGCCCAATCTATTAAGAAGTTTGGTGTAAAAATTAAAAAATTACAAGGCAACGAATATGAAGATTGGGAAACTAGTTTAAAGTTTGTAGCCAATTATTTTAATGAAGATTTAAATTACTTTTATTATAAGACTAAGGTAAAGGTAAATTATGTAAAGGAATATTTTAATTAAATTAATAATTATTTTAGGAAGACGACAATGCAGCAAAAAGTTCTGCACCATGTGTAATTGAAATAGGTAGGTTAAAAATTGATATAGAACTAAGTAATTCAACCTTTTTAATTTATTTTTAGAAAATAAAAATGAATTTTTTGTATTTATGGAAAACGAAAAGGTTTTGGAAGTCAAATCTGGAATCGAAGGGATAAAGATTGCCTTTGGGCTTTATTTTATATTTAATTTGCAGTATCCACATGAGACTTCACTGACATTAGAGTTCATTCAGAGATTTTTTATGAAAATACACCCAGATGCTGGAACGGGGTCTAAAAAAAATAAAAACTCAAAAAATAAGGTTATAACTCTAATTAACAAATTAAAATAAAACAAGTTTTTTAACTTTTGATTGTATAAATATATTTAATATTTATACCATAATATACAATTGAAAATTTTAGTTTTTTTTAAGTTGACACATTATTTAAGACAAAAACTGTTATTTTTCTATTTATTTAAAAATGTTTAATATAGGTACCAAATGTTTTTACGGGTTAATATTCTAACATTGTTTTAAATGAAGGATTTGTTTTTTTTATAGATAAAGTTAAATAAAATATTATGTGCCTAAAACAGTTTATTACTTCCTAATCATAATAAAAACAATAATATTTAGTAATAAAAAATACATGTAGTTTCTGCAGGTAAGTAAATATCCATTATCGTTTTTTAAATTTTCTACAACAACTAGTAAATAAATTGTCCTGAAAAAATATTTTGTTATTTCCTTACTAATCAATAGTAATTAAAAAGTACTGTAATACTGTAATGTGATGTAAAATAAGCTCATGGCTAAAAAAAATAATAATAAATAATACAGTCTTACAAGTAGGTACTACTACCATAAAAAGAAAACCCCGTCAATTAAACAATCCCAAATTATATTCATTTAGATATTCCCTGAACCACGGTTTCCAATAAAATGTAAAACAACATCAAAAGAAGACACTATTTTAACAACATCAAAAGAAGACACTATTTTAACAACCACAAATTATCAAATTGAAAATTATTTTTGGTTGTTAAAATTATGTTTTCTTTTAAATGTTATAATATGCTGCAAATTAAAATTACATTGTGATTTTACTGAAGTAGGAATTTTACATTTTTAAGTATTTGTAAATTTACAATGAAGTTAGTAATTTTACATTATAATTTTATTTAAACTAGGAATTTTACATTGTGAATTTACATGAAATCTAGGAATTTTACATTGTGAATTTACATGAAATCTAGTAATTTTACACTATTTTATTTGAACTAGGAATTTTACTTTGTAAATTTAATTATATGGGTGTAAAATTACAATGTAATTTTAATACTGTTTTGTAAAATTACTTTGTTGTTGCAAATTTTCTGGATTATCGATGGTCACCAGTCGCCATCAATAATCGTGGTAAATTTACATCATTTTTTTTAGTGTAACGTAGTAACGCGCCATAGAACACATAACGCACTGAGTTCAGTCCCAAACAATGATGAGCGGCACTATAGGCACTAGCAAGGCGCATGATGCAACAATCGTCAAGATTGAATCGTGAGCAAGTCGCGGCTCGAGATTTATAACGCAATAGATATTTATGAAACAAGCGTGTAAACTATAAACTGTAAACTATAATGGATATCTAGTAGGGTCGGGCATTTATATATTCTGGATATCCTGGATATCCATAGAGTATATCCATTGGATGTTCCGTGTGGGGTTGCAATCAGATTGGGTATCTTTAATATCACACAATCATCTATTAAGTTCGGATCCTTGGAGGCCGAGTCTAGCTTGTCCTCAAACACTTTCATTTGACTTTGAAATTGACCCACAAGGTCATCATATTTCTTATTGCGGGTTTGTCTAGGCATTTTTGGCACTATTATCCTTATATTTTGATATAAAGAAACACTATAACATATTATAATTTGTTGTAATCAATTTTTCTAAGACAATTTGCACTATTTAATATTTCTAATAGACCTATCCCATAAAACAGACTTTTGGATAGCGCGTGCCTGAAGAAGAGTGGTATCTCTTTCTCTTTTATATAATTAAAAAAAGACGAGCACAATCTGCACGTCTACTCTTGACACATGCGCATCTTCTATATAATCACTCAAGTTTAAATAAACACTAGGCAAAAGAAACTCATCCTAAAGAAAAAGCATCTGTAGATCAATAAGCACATTTAAGGGAACCATAAATTACGTTATATGCGAAATAATAAACAACCGCACAGTGAGCAACGTTATCGATAGTCAGCCACCTCGGAATCCGACTCGGACAGACACGGACACATACTAACAGGAAGTACTTCAAGACCAGATAGGTAGCAGCGTACTAACCAACTGAGCCCCATTCATGAACACCAATTGAATGGGGTAATTACTAAATCCCTGGTTGAGGGAGACTCCAGATTGTACTTAGTTTTGGATCAGTTCAATGTCCCTCAAAAACCAAAATGTTTTCCCTCCTTGTCTGCACTCCACTAGCCTAAATCGGGCGTATGGTCCGGCGACAAAATTCCGGGAGTGGCCTTAACCATCGACACTGTCATCCACGACCTCCTAGGCGAGATTTACCAGCCGGGGTAAAAATTCAGATCCACCAAACACAGGCAATGCTGTGCAGTGGCGGGAAATCAGTGTAAGGCGTTGCTGATGGGGCCAGTCATACGTTCCTCATATTCTTAATCAACAATAAAAGAATGAATAATTTAAAAATTGATCATCACATTCTTATCAATACAGACATATCTGCAAAATTATTGCACATCTTTTCAGCAACACAGACATATCTTCAAAATTGATGCACACCTTCTACGGCAACACAGACATATCTACAAATAGCTCTTATTCCAAAAGAATATTTTTTATAATCTAATTTTTAGCTGGCTCAGAATCTTAGTGTGGTTCCTTCTTTGCAAAAAAAAATTATATATTTTATATAATTTTACAAATATGTTATAATTTTATTATTCAAAAATCTTTGACGGTCATTATCTCGGAATTAAGGTTTTAATACTTATATATAGACATTTAATACTAAAATAATTATAAACTTTTTACAAATAAAATTGTTAATAACACTCTTTAATGTATTTACATTTTTATGCGATTTTTTGTTACCTGGGCAACTTGAATTAAAATGTTTATTTTTACTATGTAAATTAAAGCCATTAAAATTTTAAACTAAAATAAATTTTGTGCTTATAAAAAGAAATTCATTTTTAATACGTTTATCAACATTTTAGTTTTCATTATTTGTAGAGCAAACATGCAAAAAACGATAAATCTATTTTTACATTTTAAGAGGATAAAAGCGATTCGTACTAATTTTGGTAAACTTTTTTAACTTAACGCAGCGAAACAACCCAACATGAGCAACATTCCCTTTTAATAGTTTTTAAACATTTGGGGTAATCTGCCGTACACAGTTTTGGCCAATATTTCATAATAAGTATATAAATAAAATGGATTTATCGGCTTTTGCATATTTGCTCCATATTTGTTTTATGAAAATCTTTAACAAGAGGTTGCCCTCAAGGTTCAGTTCTTGGTCATTTATTGTGGAATACCGCACTGGATTCCTTATTAAAAATTCCTATTGGTAAAAATATTAAAAAATTTGCTTATGCAGATGATCTTGCTATTGTTGTGTCTGCTAATAATTATTATATAATATAATTATATATATATATATATATATATATATATATATATATATTATAATAGAACTCATTTACAATCCTCCATGAATAATGCACTTAGAATTATTAATTCTTGGGCTGGCGAAAATAAATTGAGTTTTTCTCATGATAAGTGTTGTTATATGATCTTTAAGGATAAGCATAAAAGAAGACCAGGTATTAAATTAAATAATAAATCTGTACGGTTTGTTTAATCAACAAAATATTTGGGAATTACTTTAGACCCTCTTCTAAATTATCAACTTCATATTAAAAATGTTTGTTTTAAAGCTAAAAGTTTATTCTCTAATCTTAGAAGACATATCACCCATGTATGGTCTCCACCATCTGATAGTTTGAAAATTATTTATAAAATGGCTGTTATTCTCATTGCTGGATACTCATTTGATATATGGTCAAATAAAGCTAATTATTGCCGTGCTGAAAGATTTCTAAATTCTTGTAGAGGGATGTGTGCTCGTGTTATTTCTGGATGTTATAGAGATGTAGCCCCTGAAGCAGCTGGTGTTATTGCTAATATCAAACCACTATATATACTTTCTGAAAGATCTGCCCTATTAAAATTAAGAAGAAAAATTACTGCTAAACATTTAAACCTATCTTGGCTAGATTATAACAATTTACCCAAATTAAGAGTAGCTAAAACTCTAATTGAATCTGCAAGTATTGAATATTGACAAACTATATGGGATGATTGCCCAGTAGGTCGTTTAACATATAAATTTTTACCCTCTATAATTAATAGAAAAAATTTTAATATCCCTCATTCTCGTGGATTAGCTGCAATTCTTTCTGGTCACGGAAGATTTAAAAGACATTTTCATCTTCGTGGTGGTGCTGATGACCCATATTGTATGGAATGTGGAACAATTGATGATCCTACTCACAGACTTTTTGACTGTCCTTAATTTGATTTATCAAGAAATGACCTAATCGATGCTTTGCCGAATTGGCCTATTTCACATGAAAGATTATTTGAATTACTTTTAGATTTAAATTTATCTGGTCTTCTTTTACCTTTTACTAAATGTGATGATCTACTGAATGAATAATAATTGTAATCGCCATCCTATGAATTTTATGTTTCATTGTCTGTTGATATTTGAATATATTTACTCTTAATCAGTGTGATTATTTAATTATATACTTTGAATTAAGATACTTGTTAGGCTTATATATTTATTTATTTATTTTATTTATGTCTTTATTTATTTTACACTATGTTATAGCTAGCAAAACAGTTCTTGAGAATTGGTACCGCTTAGTCTATATTAATTTGTATTTATTTTTCCATTTTCCATTCCTTTATATAATAATTTTTTAATAACCATTTATACCTATCCATTCTAAAAAACTTTACTTCAGTTTATATTTTTACACCATAATTTTGAATAATATATGCCGAAATTACTCTATTATTTTATCTTTACCTGTACAACTGTACAATTCATCAATTTCATTTATTTTTAATTATTACTAAATTAACAATTTATTATTTTTTTTTAATCTATCTATAAATACAACATTGTATCTACATTAAAAAATATTTTTACCAATCCAAGGGTTATTGGTACCTTGGACACCATTCGTGTAAGCTTGAGAGGGGCCCTTATTATTATTTTTTTTATTA